CAGTGTGTTTGTATTCAGGGAACCGTTCAGGGCACGTCTGGCAATTTTTTTCCTTGATGCTTTTATCAACAATTAGACAAAGACAAATATATCCGTCGAATTTACTCAAAATAAAAATGGTTATTTGACAGCTCACTACTAGCCTTTTTGCGTCCATTACTACGCTATAAAAAAATAAAGCATAGGTATAATCGGTGAACTCTTGATACCTAGTACAATGAACCTAAATGTTGGTGTTGGTCTTCATGAAGCCAAATCCCTCTTAAAATCCGTTTTTCTAGAAACCACTAGCAAGAAAGATTTTTTATGCCCGTTTTCCACCAAACGGACTGTTGAGTTTGTGTTTTGAAACATGTTTTAAAACAAAAACAAAACTGAACAGACTCGAGTCTCTGTTTGAGTTCCATATTCACCGCTTCCGAACGGGACCCGAAAAACAAAAGTCCAACTGTCGAAAAACACGCTAGTCTTGAAAATGTTTGGGAAAAGTTAGGGTTTTGTCTGAGTTTAAGTTTTGTTTTTGTTTTGTCGGTTTGGTGGAAAACATTGCATTACATAAAATGCCAAAGTATATTCAATTTGTACTATGTACTTAATATGATAATAGTGGCATCCATGCTAACAGTCGGCAGAATAGAGATTAATACACACTACTACAGTATATTTTATCTTTATAATGCCTGTGTAGATCAAATCTCAAGCCCCCCACCAGGCCAAAGAACCAGTGATGACGTCGTCAGCGTGTCGTTTCTTGCCTTGAAGTAGCTCACGCAACAAAATTGCATCCTTAGAATGTAATGGGAATGATCTTATTTCAGGAAGAATGTGCCTAGAATGTTAGCCAAAACCATTGCGAATGTCCTGAGAATGTTCTAAGAAAATATTGTAGAAATACTATTTGCAATACCCCAAGAACCTCCTGGGAAAGCCATTAGGATATTCCTAGAATATGGGTACCTATGAGATTCTCAGTACATTCTGGAAAGAATATTCTTGTTTGATATGCTTTAACTGTATATTCCCACATTCAAAGAATGTTTCTATAACCTTATAAGTTATGTTCTCAAGACATAACATTCTTATTTGATTCTGGGGATATACTTAGGCTGTTAATTTTCGAATCCAAATATTGCTCCTTAGATAGAGTCGAGTTTGAGGTGTTTACCACTCGCCGCAATACATGTACGTTCAGTCCGCATTGCGATCACATTTTTCGCATTATATGGCATTTTAATCAAATTCGCAGCATTTTCCTACGTTTTCCACATTCCGCCGCATTTTTATGCATTTTGCCACATTTTCACGTATTTTCCCACATTTTGACGCATTTTGCTGCGCATTATCAATAATTTTGAGAAGACATTATTTTAATTAATGCGAAAATGCGAAGTAGAGGGGAGAGGACTTGATTCTCTTCTAATTCTGATACGGCGGACATCGAGCCGACATATTTATATTACACGCACTCATGCAGTTTGACGTCGTTTGTAGATGTACTGATTTTGTGTTCCGAGTTTTGTTTCATCAGGTTTGCCTCATTAAGATAAGTACTATATACTTAATACTTTTTATATGCACAAACTGTAAACTGTAGATAAGTGATACCTATTCACATTCAAATTTGTGTAGAAAAATTCTTCATATAGGCCTGGTTTAGCCAGTTCTTAGGCCTTTTAGGGATTATTCTAGATGATGCGTTTGAAGTCCTATCAATACCTTTATCAATGGAACAATTTGAGGATGATGAATCTGAAAATATAAATTCCTTTGAGACATCTAAGGAGACGACACCTAATGAAATGAATCTGGAAATGAAGGAAGAAGATGAATCAGAAATAATTGAAGATCTAGAAAGTTATGGGAAATTATTTGAAAATATTAAAACCACCAACATAACGGATGCCACTGACACTCGAAGCATTAATCAGCATGATGGAGTTTCGAAATTAAAAATGAAGAGTAAACGAAAACTAGTAAAAAAATCTACATTATGTTGGGTTTTTGGTCAAAAAAATGGAAAGGTATCCACAGACAGACTTTTTAGATTTAGAGGTAAACCTGGCAACAAGGTAAGTAAGCGAAAGAGTATTGAGAAAAAAAAAACAAAAAGTTAAAAAAAAAAACCTAAAACAAAGTATAATGAATGCGAGTCTAATAGTGAAACTTCTGAAGAGAGTGAAACTGTGATTTACGAAGAGAGCTCTGACGAAATAGATCAAATGGAAGTGAGTGATAGTGGGAATGAAATGGAAGAACCGCAAGAAGAACTCTGTATAGAAATGGAAAAGTATTATGCTGTGTACTATGATACATCATGGTATAGTTGAATTTACGATAGAGTTTGAATTTTGACTATTATTTTCACCAGTGGAAAGTAAATAAAATCCCCAGATCTGTCCCTTTTTCTGTCAACTATTAAAAAATGATACATGAAATTTCGATTTGACACATAAAAATATCAGATTCGGGTTTTTCAATTTTGAATTTCGAATATTTGTGTGAAATCGTTTCAGATTTTTGCCGTTTTCTGCATTATTTTTTGATTTGTTATATTCTCAACCGGTTATTTGGATTTTTATGTAAAGTGTGATTTTTTCTTTGTGTTTCGGTGTTGCGTTTCAAATTTGGTTTTAATTTGAATTTAAGTGTTCACTTTTTTTATATTATATATTAAGTGTTCATTTTCAACCATATATGAAATATTGTCATTACTGACTTTTCAAAAATTTGAACATGTCACATTACTGTCTTAATTTTCCTGGTCCATTACCTGTCCCAGGACGGGAAATGAGGACGGGAAATTTTTTCCGTCCTGATTTCCCGTCCACGGACGAAAAATGGAGCAGGGAAGTAGTTCCTGTCCTCATTTCCTGTCCTCATTTCCCGACCTTATTTGGTTCTTACGAATTTTTTTTTAAAAGAAAATATGGTTAAAAATAAAATAGTATACAGACCTCGACGGGACATTTCATTGCTGTCTCGAGGTTCAGTTTATCTCGACGCTACGCGTCTCGATAAACTATATAACCTCTCGACCAGCAATGAAGCATTTCCCGTCTCGGATTGTAATATACTATTACTTTGGACTCTAATTTTTGAATTTTTGGATTTTAGTAACTTAACTTCTTTCAAATAAATTGAAAATAAATTTTTATTCTCAAATGTATATCATTTTTCTAAATACGACCCTGTCGTTTATCCCTGCTGACGGAATCGAACCGCTAATGCATACTGGCAACCTAAAGAAAAAGTTACTATAAATGTCGACTCGAACTGTCAACTTCACTTTCTATCGTGATTTCAACTCTATGTATATTGGCAGAGTATTAGGTGTAGATGAATATATAAAAATATTCACCATTAAATTTTTAAAATATGATTTAAATAGCTACATATGGCGTCGTAAAGAGGACATTCGAAGATTTCAACGTGATTTTATTTTCTATGGGCTTATTAATATGACTGGAAATGGGCCATTTCAAATTACATACATAGAAAAAATTAGGATAGATCACTCAAATAAAAATATTAAAAATATGTAATCCTGGGAAGTAACAACAAATAAATTGCAGTAAAATAAGTTGTAGGCAGTTTTTTTTTTCATTGGTCACACGTACAAAAGTCGATCAATAATTAGTTTTTTTATTAGTACTATTATTATTTAATATGAAATTCCGTGGTGATCAATGTGAATATTTCTCCGCATTATGCCAGATAATATCGCATTACCTTCACAATACGTCTAATTGCATCACATGTTTTAACATTTTTAGCATTTTTCCGCATTGTCCATTAATGCGCCGAATTATCCACATTATCCCACATTACCTTAAAATGCGAGATAATGCGGCAATACATGTAAATATTTTCCAGAGTGGTCAACCCCTCGGTCGAGTTATTGGAAAATTTCTTTGGAAAACAGAGGTGTTAGCTGTTTAACCAAAGCTCCATTTCGAGCTTGTTATGCTCTAGTCAGTCGTCAGCGCAATATAAGCGGAAAGCACGCCAACTGAGAGAAACAGGTTTCAAGGTGATTCACACGATAAGAAGATAATATCGCGTAGCTCCCTCTCTTCGAAGTCCTACAAAGCAAAAGAATATAGTGATGCCGCGAGACTCGAGACTGGTCTCGTCTCGTCTCGTCTCGACTGTTCGAGACGAGACCGGCTTTTGGTCTCGTCTCGTGAAGTCTCGACGCTGTTTGCAGTGGGCAGTGGCGGCGATATGCATAAGCAGATATAAGCGATGCTTAGGGGCCCGGGCTTGAATAGACTGATGGATTCTTGGAATTTGGTCGGGCTCTTGATAACTACTCTATTTTATTTGTGTGTTGAAGGCATAAGTAGTGTTCTTATCGTTTCTGGTGTAGATGCGCTAAATGGTTTTTGTTTAATTGGTTGATTTGAATAATAGCTGAGCATTCTATCCAAAACATGGTAAGGTCCACCAAACCTTAGAATGGTACAGGCACGTGTTTCGCCGCAAGTTGCCCATTGGTATGTTCATCACGGTTGCTACAGCAACGGCGAGTAGTTGTGTCATTGAGTAGCGTACCTAAATCAGATCTATTTCCAAACCAAATAAAAATTATCGAAATAATAGTTTGCCCGCGGCTTTGACGTCAGATATCTGCGCAGACCAAGCCTGTACCATTCTTAAGTTTGGTGGACCCTATATACTGAAGTACTTTTATAAAGATAAAGGATATCTAGTAGGGGGCAGAATTCCATTATTCTTGATTTTGGTATAATGACAAAAGTTGACGTAGCGTATCCTAACTAACGAGGAACTTGACGAAATTGACTTTAGAAATTTCAATAATAATATTGAACCTACATCAGATAACACATAAAAAACACTTGACTTTACAAATAATAATTGATACTTATGACATTTTTTTTGTGTGAAAAAATGTCAATAGTGACCAAAATTGAAATTATATACATACGACTCTAATTTACCTAATTGAAGACTAAATAAATAATTTGTTCTTTTTACAGGCGAGCTGAAGTTGGTGTGCAGTCTCTATGACTTCAAAGCCACACATGCCAAAACTATCAGCTTTAAGGCCAATCAACTTTTTATTCTACAACAAATAAACAAAGAGCACAGAAACTGGTGGGAAGTTATTGATGTACAAGGGGACGTTGGATACATTCCTTCAAATTATGTGAAAATTATTACTATCACTCCTGCATTTTATGTGAAATTTTTGGATATGGTGCTAGAAAATTTAGAAAAGCGAGGTAGCGAAGAAATGGTAATGGGATTGAAGACTCAGACCATGGCTAGAATTAAGGAATTGAGAAGTCAGGTAAGCATTAACGCAAAATATATGTCCTTTAACGAACCTGTTCGAAAATTAACAGAGTATGGGAGAACAAATAGTGGTAGTTTTTATATTTCTCACTTCTCTCATTTCACCATAAACGTTTTCAGTACTGGGTGTTTGTTTATAATTTAAAACTGGAACACTCAGTAACTTTCACGCTATTGAAAATAAAGGACATGTTTAAGTTGGAAAATTTCTTGATAAACTGCAACCTTAAGTGCTACAACGATATTTTTTGTCGTCATAGGTATACAGGGTGCGCCAAAAGGTTTTTTTTTTAATGTTTATTTTTGTTATCCAAATAGTGTTTGATATTTTTGTGAAGCTAATTTTCTAAGAATTTTAAAAATGCAAAAATATACAGGGCGTTCCATTTGAAAAAAATGACTTTTTTGGCGTACCTTGTATACTTATGTCGACAAAAAAATATCATTGTAGCGATTAAGATGGATGCAATTTACCAAGATTAATTTTCCATTTTAAACATGCCCTTCATTTTCAATAATAAAAAAGTTACTGAGTGTTCCACTTATAAACAAACACCCTATACAATAGCTTGAGGGTAGCGCATAGTGTAGCAAAGCATCAAAAATATCGAAATTTGACAGAAATTTGAAATAGAATATAAAATTTAAATAGAGGGTGCATTTGGAAGGCGGCAAAAAATAAAGGCTTTGAGGACACTACAATCACATGGATTGAAACCATGCTACAGGATAGGAAAATCAAAGCAACTCTTGGGAGCGACTCAGCGAAGGTCCTAGCAGTCAATCCTCACTGCTATGGTCCATAGTAATGGATGCACTTCTAAACATACTAAGGGCGGGTATTATAAAACTGCTTTGACAGTTAACTTGGAGTTAACTTTTTGAATTACGTGTAATTCCAGAAGTTAACTTTAAGTTAACTCTCAGTTTTATAATACCCGCCCTAAGTGAACATGGATTTGTGGTCCTAGGATATGCTGATGACCTTGCAGTCCTCATTAGAGCCAAGCATGATAGGATCATTAGTGAACTCATGCAGAATGCCCTCAACATCATCAAAAGCTGGTGCTTGCAAGAGGGTCTAAGGGTGAATCCTAGCAAGACAATAATTGTACCATTCACAAGGAAAAGGAAGCTCAACTTAATAGCTCCAACACTGGATGGAATACAAATAGGCCTTTAAAGTAAAGTCAAATATCTGGGCGTTGTCCTGGATCAAAATCTCACCTGGAACTCACATTTCAAAAGAATAATCGATCAAGCAACAGTAAGGTACTGGACATGCCGAAGACTATTCAGTAAAAAATGGGGCCTAAAGCCAAAAATGATCTATTGGTTATATACGATGATTATAAGACCCCTGGGCTGGAACTCTGTAACGGATAGGGATCGTTATCCCTATCGCTATGGCACTTGCTGTCTTCTTCTCTCTTGTCAAAATCAATAGAGAGAAGACGTCAATAGAGATAGAGAAAATATCTCTATTCGTTACAGAGTCCCAGCCCTGGTCACATATGCTGCATTGGTGTGGTGGCCAAAAGTGAATCAGCTGACAAGGCAAAACCGATTGGCAGTTGTACAAAGGTATGCATGTCTTGGAATAACAGGTGCCATCAATACCTGTCCAACCGTTGCTATAGAGGTCATGTTATAGATATCATCCCTATGCACATTGCAGTGAAGAGGGAGGCCTACATGGGGGCCTCAAGAGTTATACGGTCTCCAAACCTAAAGGAAGGGGACCTTGTTGGACATGAGCATCATTAAAGAATGCCATTGTACACCAACAAAACCGGTGGATATCATGCCACCCAGATACGAATTTAATCACGTTTTTAGTGTGACCGCAGAAGGCCGCAAAAATGACAAGATCGTACATAAATTCCCAAACGGTTCATCCATCTGGTACACAGATGAATCGAAAACAGAAGAAGGGGTCGGAGTGGGCGTGTATGGCCCAAACTGCAGGCTGTCGGTAGCCTTAGGAAAACCCCACCATATTCCAAGCGGAAACCTACGCAATAGAACTCTGCGCCAGAAAGTGTCTTGAAATAGACCTACGAGATGCAAGAATCTTCATCAATTCTGACAGTCAGGCAGCACTTAAGGCTCTTAACAGCTTTGTCACTAAATCCAGACTAGTCTGGGACTGTCGGCAACTTCTAAAGCAACTGGCGAACTGCAATAGAGTCACTCTAGCATGGGTACCAGGGCATCAAAACATAGAAGGAAATGAAATAGCGACCGGCTTGCAAGAGAAGGCGCCGCGTCATCATTCCTCGGTCCAGAATCCTTCTTTGGCCTGACAAAAAGCCATGTAAGGACCGAACTCAAAAAATGGGTAGAGGCACAACAGGCCTTTCCTTGGAACAATACTTCAGGACTTAGACTGGCGAAGCAGTTCATCTCGCCAAAGTCAACAAACGTAAAGGAACTACTCGATTTCAGCAAACCAGACTTGAGGCTCATAACAGGTCTCCTCACCTCTGCCCTCTTGGCTACCACCTGAAAAAGATGGGTAAAGCTGAATCAGACCTTTGCCGCTTGCCGCTTCTTCAAAGAAGCATCCGAATCTGCCGAACATATACTCTGCAAATGCGAAGCGCGAAGCATTATCACAGAAGACTCATCCATCTGGAGCACATTTGACTGCTGCGGATGTTAAACGAACCAATCCCGGGAAAATCGTGAGATTCGCGAAAAGTCTCAACCTGGGAACCTACTAGAAAAAGGGGAAGCACAATAGATCTATTCAGGTCGCAGTGCAGAGAGATCCATCACCTAAACGCCCCTAACACAATCTAATCTAAATCTAATTGGGCATTGATGTTTTTCATAAAATTTTCAATAGGAAATTAGCGTAACAATCAATTACCTTGCCACAAGGATATAAACAATAGAGGAAGGGAATCCAGGAAAGGGCTTTTGATGGAAATTTATTCTGTAAAAGAAACTCCTATTGTAAAACGAAATACCACCAGGGGCGTGTTGAAGGGCTCTTGCTCAACTCAAAACGCATTTTTTTTAGGTTCTCCTTTTTTTAAGCCAAAAGTCCAGAATAATCCGCAGTCAACGCCTTCCGGGTTTTTAATGTTTCTAAGTATTTGACTGTCCAGAAAATTAAGGTACAAAAACCAGAAAGTAAAGAAATTGAGTTGATTTCTATGCTATCCTAGTTCTGAAAAAAAAAAGAGATGGAGGCATACCGTCAATAAAAAAAAGTCGCCTAAGATTCACATATTAAAGCTAAAAAAAAGCAATTTTTTTGTTGAAGCTAGACCCCAAAATAATGGTTTCGAAATTGTTTAACCTCAGTTCAGCTGAAACGCCAATTTCAAAAAGGTATCAACGCTTTGGCTATCCTGTTCAATGTTTTTTCATCATAGAAAAATTCGATATCGCATCAGGTGCAGGTCCATTATAGGCCTAAAGCCTCCCGCTCACCCACATCGAGATGTTTTTGTTCTCATGTTTATCTTGAGGACAATTTTGTATCGTTTATTGTAAGATCTACATGGTTGACACCAATTTTTGGTAACTTTGATAAACTACGAAGTGTTAAGGCCAAAAAATCATTGAAAGAGTGAATACGCTTTTGATATTTTATCGATTAACGATCAACTATGTAATACCTATATAGAATATAGGATTTAATCACTCTAAAAAGATAACTTGTACAACATCCAACAATATAGAAATCTATTATTTTATTCATAACACATAAACTATATTTGTAAGCTTTTTTTTATTGGTTATAATGTATACCTACCTATATATTCTCAACAAATCCTTTAGTTTGGTATATTTGAATAAGTTTTGATGTTTTGCTTTCAGGCGGAACAAATTCAAGAAAGTCATAGTGCGACTTGTTCTGCACCTAACGTCCATAATGTTAAACCTAATTGTACCCCTACTGTAAATAAAGATTCAAAATCACACCTCAATTCAAACTCGGATGCTTTCACCAAATATAATAATTCACCAGTTTGTGAAGATATATCTCCTGTTGTAGTTGAAGGCCCCACTGAGGCTGTTACAGAAGACTTAGATAGTCTTGAAAAAGGAACTGAGGAAGTGAAATCTGAAATTTATGAAGTCAATGAATTAGAATTACAAAAGCCAGTTACAAACGATTCATTTTTAAATGTATCTCCAGTTATAACTTCTCAGTCTGTATACGAACTGATCGAAAGTGTAAGGATCAATACTAACCTCTCACATGAAAAGTCAGGAGTTGCTGTGGAAACAGTTGTACAAGGACTACATGAGCTGTTGCCCGCGTCCATTTTTCCTTATTTAAGGTATGCCGCCGTATTTTCAAAAATTTCAATAAGTATCGTGAATATGCATAATTTAATAATTTTAGTACGATTTTAACGCACTGTCAGTCTTGTCTAGTCGTTGATGATGCTCAAATTGATCAAACTCATGATGCTAGTCGTTTAAAAATTATATTTAAAGGGTTAACTAACTGTAAGGATGACTCAGAACAGAGAAGTTGGATGTTACATGAAGACGAGGGTATTATAAAAGAATATATTACTGAACTTAATTCTATTTTGGTTGGTTGTTTTTTATTACAGAAAAAGTTTTTGTACTAACGGTAGTTTAAGGATTTTAGTACATATTTCAATAATGTGGAGCTTATACATGTGTCACAACTTATATGACAGTTAACTAAATTGCATGAGAAACTAAAATCGTAAAACGCCGTTCTAAATATGGGCACTTAATGAATTCATTTTTAGTCAAATGCAGATGTACGAATATCACGCCACGTGATATCTTCTGATCAATTCCATGCAATAACGACTTTGATCGAATATTATCAAATGGAGGTTCGGTGGCCTATTAGACAACTTTTGTTACAAGCGTTTGGCGTGTTATGTAGTTTGGATAAAACTATCATTGATATTATGTTAAATTCTGTACTACCTGGGGAACTAGCAAGGTAATTCCACAACATGATATTGAATAATAACCTCAAGTTTAAATTGAACGATTAGAATAATAAATATTAATATATTTTTATTTCAGGGATATGATGGCGAACCCGCGCAATATTACCAAATTAAATTATTCAGGATCAGTATTGATCATGATATTTTCAACAGGTGACCCTATGCCTGTCACTGATTTAGGTAAGTGGCAAAATTGAATACTCTTTCACAAAGTATTATATGCATTCCAGTCGCAATTTCGGGAATAGCTATATTCTTTTTATATGCATCAGTCGATATATACCTACCACATGGCACCCCTGGGCTGGGATTCTGTATAACGAATAGCGATCATCTCTATCTATCTATTCGCGTCACCTTTCTATTGATTTCGATAAGAGAGACGGAACAGCGATCGGGATAGCGGAGGGAATAGCGATCCTTATCTGTTGCAGAATCCTGTGGTCCTAAAAGCGCTTCTAGAATAGACCCTGTATCCCAGATACAAAAGAAACAGAATGTTTCCCAGAATAGAGCCCGGGGGACATACGAGATACCTGTATTTTTCTTTTACATGAGACCTCGCCCCCAATATGAATGAACGAATCGGCCTACCATATTGGATTTTATGAGGTTTGTACTACCCCAGCTTACACATCATTCCTGAAGTTCCCAAACAAGCAGATCGTGAGACACGCTCTGAAACGCCTTTGTCAAATTAGAGAATGATGCCTTGGCAAATAATTTCATCTCAAAACTCTCTTGGATGCGGACAAGAAGACATCTGATAGACCAATGTAGATTTGTTTCGAGAGAAACTGAACTACGAAGCATTGAGCAACTTATTGGATTCAAGATGTTGACAAAGCTGCGTTTTCAGGACTGCCTTAAAAATTTTGCGATGCATAAGTTTATATTAGCTTTATTAAAGAGGAAATAACTGATAAGCCTTACTGGGACTATTTTCGGGACCTGTTATACCTTTTGCCATTACGATATTGGTCATTTTCGGAGCGGAATGAAATATGGAGTTATCAAATATATTCTTACTAAATAATCAATGGGATTCTTATTTGAGACTGGTAAACGTGTTATAATATCATGAGCACGAAGAAATAAATTGTTCTGCAATAAAGCTTTCAGCTACAGGAGTGATTGATTATTATCTATTATTACATCCCAAATGGCTTTACTTATATTTTTGGAGCCCAAGCATGATGTGCTGGTTGTAATTACATATCTCTTTTCTTAATATTTCCATTTTTTTTATAGTAGTCATGACAATTCTTTTACATGTCGCAAGTAACTGAATTTTATATCTCTGAACAGAGAATTGTTAACAATTCCAAGGCTGCCTAATGCCCCCTGAGCTCGTCATGGATCTATTAGATCTTCAATTATTATAGGGTGAATCAGGTTTTCATAACTTTTTATATCCAAACATTTTATGAGGGTTTCTTAGGCGTTTTCCACATGAAATTATTGAAATTGTTACTATGAATAATTTTGGGTCCACATAAACAAAGATTTACATCATCGCGGTACAGATATTTCATTATCCCAATTTCGAACAACATAGACTTGATACTAACCCATAAGTTGAAGGAAATTTAAGAAAAATACATTGATATAGCATAGGTAAACACTTTTAAACTACGAATAATTAACGATGTACCATATGTGACGATATGCTTCTTACAATTATATCTATCTGGTGAAAGTACCAATAAAATTGCAGTACTTACACATAATCGAAAGTCTTCAGGTAATTTGGTGATTGGTAATCAAATATTTTGAAATTTTAGATTATTTCAGTCAGCAGTTCTTAAGATTCGTCTTCCACAACATAGAATGTCCGATAGTAACCGATGTGGACGACCAAATTCCAGATTTGTTTCTCAACTTCATACTCGCATTCAATCTTCAATTTAAAGAAGAGTGTTCTAATCCGATCATAAATGTACTTGAAAGTCAAAAACAAGCCCAAACGATTTGTGAAAAATTGTTGTTATTGTTGAACAGAGAAGGTAAGAATATATTAAATAGGTATTTATGTCATTAGGCCAAGAAGTGCGTCTGTTTATGCTGAGTACATTTTGTCTTATAGGGATTGCAATTTCACAACTTGATCACTGCTTTTTTAACCATTTTTGGAAAAATAAAAGGTTACCATACTAAATGTGCGATGTATGTCAAATTTATTTAGTTCAAATGTCAAATTTATTTCTCAGTTCTTGAAACATAAATTATTTCAAAAAAAGTACCCGATAAGAAAAGATCTTGAATCAGAATATGCAAAGCATTCCAACTTGCAGTGCCATTCTCAGATTTGACCTGCCTAATTATTTCAATGAAATACTTTTACATATTTTCTTCAATTTCGCTCAATTGAGGTATAAACAACAAAGTCACTAGTATGAACCTACCTCATACATACAGACGTACAGTTGTTAATATTTTTTTCTCATTTTTAGAGGATCCAATTAGAATATTCGAACATGAACCGGCCCCTCCACATTCTTTGTTGAAACTGTTTAAGGATATTTTCAGTCAGCCTACGACAGCTGGGTTATTTTATACTAACGATGCCAAAGTTTTAATCGATATTACTCTTAGAAATATTACAAACCTCTCTTCTGGCGATCAAGTAAGTAATAGTAACGGAGCAAGTATTTATTTATTGTAATATTGATAGTGTCAGAGCTAGTCATATGAATATTATGAGGATAGAAACGCGCCCGGATGAGAAAAGACGATTGGTAGCTTAAGAGTTGAAGGAGAAATTGAAATATATTCCATCTATAAAATTCATAGTACAAGCGTTAAATGTACAATCCACTCACTACATTTATCTCATACGGTGAGGTTCTATCCCTTTTAGACGCAGCTAGAATAATAAGAATATGCAATACATGTGTTTGTGCTGGATACCTCTCTAGCTACAGACATTCCGAACTCAACAGTTCTCGTCAGTGCCGTACAAGTGAGCATATTAAATCAGAAAACAAAATTGATATAGCAGCCATATGGCCATCATAGCAGTCTAAATAGCAATTAGATTTCCAAAATCCTGCAAAGCACAAACTGAAAATTACTTGGACAAACGAATCTAGCCATTCACAAGTGCAAACGCGGACGAAATACAAAAATCACACAAAAATTGAACATAGCCACCAGGAATGTTCGCTCGCCCATGGAAACCAACAAAAATAGCAGACCACAACGCAACGGAGAACTGCAACTTTGGCATGAGAGCTGGAGAGATACAACATCAATATCACTGCACTAGATGAAATAAGACGTGGAGATCCCGGAGGCTGCACTTTCTTCTGGAAAGGAAAGTTTGAAAATTAGCACCGAGTCCAGTGCTTTTGTTTGACAAAATAATCGAATAAATGGGGGGGGGGGCTGAGCGTCAAGTTGGCCCCCCCCCCAAATTTTTGTGAATAGCATTGAGTGCAATTCAGCACACTTCCTTTTATTAGCAGCACAGTTAATTAGCACGAAAAAAAAAATAGAAAAGTTGAATGAGGACTAACTTGATGAGATTATATTTAAATGCCTATCAGTGTTGCTCAACATGCCTTATTGAGAAGATGCGAAAATTTTGAAATGTGCACTTTTTACAAGTTAATATATGGTGTTATTGAATAGTCTTCTTTACGGGAACCTTTTAACTTCAATGTTCCGAGGCCAACAAGGCTCAATCAGTTCGGGTTCCTTATCATCAAATAATGACTTTCATAATTCTGTAACTAAATTCCGTAGATTGGCCCATATGTTGCCTAATAAAATTACATTTTTCAATACCTACTTCTCTTGATAAATTTCAACTAGCACTAAGAAATTATTGTGGTTGGATTACAAAATGGATTTATGCGTAAATTTACTGTTTATTCATTTATTAATTGTTTGTGTCATGTAGCCTCGGCATTGGATTATTCAAGTTACTGTGTAAACGTTATACTATAAATAAATGCAATTAAAAAAAAGTAAATGCATATATTATGATACTAAACTTGTTAATAACAAAATTGGTGACAGAAGGGTTGTTTTGACTAAAAGATCAAGTAGCTATTTTTGATTGACCTTTTTTGTTTTGTTCAATTTCAGAAGCGCACTGAGTACTTGGAACTAAGTAGAAGAATATTAAGGAACACAAATTACCATGAACATAAGCATAAAGTGAACGAACTTCTCAAATGTTTTACACAAATCTTGAAGGAAGAAAATATCCTGAGCAAACCGGATCAGAATTTAGTCAATGAAATATTCACCGAATTCCCACAATATTTCAGGTAATATCATTTGTAGGTATGTACTTATTTATTTTAGAAAGACAGCCTTTGCTCCTCTCCTCTCTTTTATTCTGCCAGTGCCTAACTTATTGGGACTGAATTGTTGAAGTGGGTTCCAAATTTATTCCAAACCCTCGCAATCGGAATTTTAATTTTTATTTATTCCTTATGATTCTATTTACTAAACGTAGGTGTATATCTTATATCTTGATATTTTGAAATTTGGCAGTTGGTTAATCAAAACTGCAATGATAACTTATCTTCCCGTTTTTCTGTTGATCTTATGTCTTTTACATGCGATAACAAAAAAATTCACAATTCCACTGGGGCATTAAAAATAGTACAAAGCATAGACTAATATTGAATTAACAAAGTGGCGTCTATCCATGAGATTTTAGATCTCATCTGGCCTTTTGTTGGTTAAGTTAAGATTTCAATACAATATTTACACTTTGTCCTAATATTGTACCGACCATCACTAGCACTATTCCCTGACCCTGGGAATATCCCGGGCACTACATATAGGACCTTTTCAGAAGATCTCCTTTTAGGAAACTCTTTGGTATAGACTACTGATTTACCCAAAATAGCGAAAAATTACAAGACCTGTCAGTCGGGTGGCCCACTTTTAATGCTCACGACTGTACACTCGTATTAAGTTTTCTCCGTAAGCTTAAAGATTTTTAGCGGTTTTTTAATAATGCTTATAAAATTGAAAAAGTATATACCTATGAAAATAGTGGATGCGACAAATCTAAGAAAACCATCAAGTCCTTAAAAAACCAAAAAAAAAAAATCATTTTCACTGGTAAACATGAAATAATTGCTAGGACATCCGGAAACAATTTTGGTGCGAAACAAAAGCATGATTTCATATTCATCATGTTTTTACACTAAAAAATTCTACTAAAAACTAGAATATATTAGGCGAACCAATTAAAAACATAAAGTGGAGCGATTATTGTGGAAAGCTGGGAAAAAGGTCAACATTAGTCGTGAAGTTAAAAAAAAAAAACTGTAGGCGCCATGAACAACATCACTGTCGAAAGAATATGTTGACAGGCATGAAAAAAAGGTTTTTAACTAAAAGTTTCTTGAAGAATTAGGAAAGTTGAATTATGAAATTGAATTGTGCAAGAACTACAAAAAAAACAATAAAGGAGAAAAATAAAGTAACATCAGTAGGATAATGGCGTAATCCTTTCCGGGAAAATTGTATCCTCCAAGTGCTTCCAAAAACAGCAAAATAGTGTTTTCAAAAGGAAAAAAATATTTTTCGACTTGGTAACTGCTTACGTGTAGAAACATCTAAATCTTGGTAGCCTTCACCTGAACCCTACAGATATATAATTACATGTAGTGTTTTGAATGTTTTTGATCAATTTGGAAAAATTCAATTTTTTTATTTTTATATATTTGCTATATTTTTGTTACAGTATGACTATTTAATGTTGTATACAACAGAAACAGACAGTCTAATATCCTTTTTTCTATTATTGGCATTGACAAGACAAGTTCAAACGAGGCTCCAAATCCTAATGAAGATTCTTCTGATTCTGAAGTAGAAAGTTTTGAATGTTCTGATGAGTCTTCAGAATCTATGTATCACCTTCAGGTTGTATTGCCTGCAACTTTTCTAATTTATCTATTTCCATTTTGCTTTGTTGTATAGGATTATCCCGGAAAAAAAAAACTTTTGATTTAACTCTCCGCACAAGTTCCTGTAAGGAGAATACCTAACTAGGTACTACAAAATACATGATTTTGTGTTAATTTGCCTTTTTTCTTGCAGTGCTGGGTTCCCACAATCAGACTTGCCGATGGGCGAACAAGAAGGAAATAATTAATCCTCAAAGCTGCGGATGATATATAAAGCTGAATTTCAAGAAGAAGGGCATTTTTCCAAATATTATACCAAAGTTCAACGACTTTTATTTTTAATGATCTTACTGTGAGCACCGTTTGAAGCATGAAAACTAATATTAATCTTATATTTTCCATACATATTTGTTAGTATGATCCTTATTTGTAAGAATATATCACATATTGATATGTATTAGTCATTTCGGTAAATAAAATGCATGTTATTTTCTGTTTTAGAAAGTTTTTAGACCTTTTCCCATCCTACTATTTTGTGATATGGAGCAGGATTTTTAGTTTAAATCAATATGTAATTATTGTACATTCATGTACATAATCAACACATAACATCACGGAGTGGGTAACTTTTAGCATTATTAGGGCGCTCCACATGCTTTACTTCAAACATTGAACAATGTGCTTTGGAATTAGAAAATAATTTTGGCTACTGGATATACGTTATTAAAAAAACGGTATTACTATAGACGTTTCGGTAAAACTATTTCAGCAACGTTATAATATGATAATAGTATATTATGCAATGATCATGTAATGATAGCCATTAATACACGAGCACGTTGTAGGATACGAAACGAGCCGCAGGCGAGTTTCGTATATAACATGCGAGTGTATTAATGGCCATTACATGAGAGTTGCATACACTATTTTTTCTACTTGCATTAATAAACGAAAAACATATTTATTTTATAAGAATAGTAAACTTCTCAACTGGTGACAATTGTTAACAACTTAACAGTTTCAAAAATTAAGATCTAGACGTCATTTGGGCATAAATTCCGCACCCGATTTATTAATTTTTTGTTGTTTCTTCTGGTAAATACTAATAGGAACAATCCAAAATTCCAAAGCAAGTCTGTTATTTTTATATAAACATTGTTCGTGTTCAAAATACTTGATTCCAGTGGCTGAAAAATCTGTATCATAATGAAAATCTGTATCATAATGACGTTCATTATGAAACAGATTTTAGGCGTATTATGAAACGTCAGTAGAAAAAACACATTATCAAATATTTCTACCAAAACGTGTCGCTGAAACTCTTTGTAGAGGATACCATAGTGAGCATGCTTATTTGGGGTTAATTTAGAGTCGTCTATTTTCTTCTGATGAGTCTAAATAAGGACGAAACGCGTAAAGGAATGGCTACGCAATCTTGGATGTTAAGCTATCAGCGGATCAATTTCCGAGGACTACTTAAGTCCTTGACCTCACGTTGGTTACTACCTACCTGAAAAATTTTTACAGTTACAAATTAAAATATATTTATTCAGGCTGCACAAAATACATATACAGGCTCCATAATAGGCATTGCACAGAGAGTTTACTTACACCTAAAACTCAAATTTAAAGTTTTAGTAAAATAAATTGGTATAAAGAAGAACAGTAGCCACCGGTACCGTCATTTGGGGTGAAGTCGGACGATTTTTGCAGTTTTTTGTTAATAAAATCTATAATTTAAAGAAAAAAAATCCCAAAAAAATAATTAAGAATCTTCCATGTCTCCTTTGTCAAATTACATACTAAAAGTAATTACATTTGTACCCCCTCCCCTTTTTTTTTTAGGTAAGTTGTGTGTCCGCCTTCACCCCTATGTGTGGGGGTAGGGTGTGTGGGGGTAAAGGCGGACGACCATTTATTAAGCATTACAAAGTGTCTTAGCCCCTAGTACGGGGTGCAGTCGGACAGAAAAAATTTAAAAAAAAAATATTTATAGCAAAATATTATAAATTTTAGGTAAAAAAAATGCAAACGGACTGTCCGCCATAATTCTTCGTTTTTATTCCCTTTTTCTTGTCATGTAAGGTGGATTTAGGAAGCCCATAATACTCAGCAGCTTGTCGTACTTTTTTTGCCTCGTCTAATATCTTCGAGTGCTCTAGCGACGTTTTCTTCATTGTTATTTTTGAAATTAATGCCGATTTTCTTCTTATAGCACCTAATCATAGTGTCCGCCTTCCCCCCTATAAAATGACTTTTTTTACTAAAACACCATTATTTAACAAAAAAAAATATATATTTTTTCACCAAATTGCCATGGGTTTACTAATAATAGAGCACATAACAAATAATAGCTCATTTGAAGTACATAGTTACAGTATTCCATTTGAAGTACATAGTTACAGTATTCCCTAGTGCCCAACAGTTTCTTTTTTGGTTTTCAAATTTTAAGAAAACAATAAAATTTATAAAATTCTAACCACGTGCTCCACGGCGAATTTATCCAGCAAAAATGCACCACTGTCAACGATACTCGAGCTAAACTAAGCGGAATATGGCGGTTGGTGGATTTTTTGGGCATCTGGATACCCGATATCGTAAAAAACGCCGGCCAATACCTGTCTGTCCGAGTTCACCCCTACAGTCCGACTTCACCCCAAATGACGGTACAAATTTTAAAATAAAGTTTGATACCTCTGTGGACACCAGTAGTAGACTTAGAGTAGTAGTATCCTTACCAGACTAAGCAACGTCAGAATATAACTGTCCTAGGCTACGCAGATAATCTGGCGATAATAATCAGAGGCAAGCATGAAGGTTCAATAACAGGTCGAATGTAAAGTGCCTTAAATATAATCAAAAAATCAATTATTCCTCTATGATGCAGATAGGTATTTAGGGGTCACCCTGGACCGCAAATTACTTGGAACAACCATATGAACAAAACAATATCACGAGCTACGCCGGCCACTTGGACATGCCGCAAACTCATGGGAAAAACATAGGGGATAAGACCGAAAATGCTATATTGGATTTACAAAACGGTTGTCAGACCCATTGTCACCTACGCCTTGTTGGTATGGTGGCGAAAAAGAGGCAAGAATAGATGCCTTTAGGCTATTCCAGACAAAAAGATGCAAACCTGGTGATCTGAATGGCCAGTTGCGCATCCAAAGTAAACCAACAGATCATATAATAACTTCACTGGACTTCGACATAACATATGAAGTGGTTGTGAAAGAACGCAAAGCTACCGCAAGCGGACAACGCATTCACTGTGGTAACCGGATTGGCCGAAGGTTACGGAAGGAGACGATCTGGAAATAACTGGAGCAAACAAATAAACTCTCCTTAGCAATAGGTAAAACGCCCACGATTCCTCAAGCCGAGGTACTGGTGTAGCTGACCGCCCAAGTAACAATTAGTTAGATGATGAATGGCGAGCGGTTTTATTGATAGTGTTTATTTCCTTGGGTTGGGTAGCTACAAATGAAATTGTGGAGGGGGTCTATTTGTCAATGAGAAAAACAACTACAGTAAGGTTTTCATACATATACCTACTATTATTACCTATATGAAATAATAAACAAAGCCAAAAAAAAACTAACTTAAACTAATATTCCAAATTTTCCAATCGTCGCCTCTTTTTACTTGCTATTCCTGTACTTTTTGGAGGTATCATAATTGCAGTGTCGCGATAAATTGATGAATTGATAGTGGCAACACTGCCGTTCTAAATTATCAAGAATACTACAGAGTATGGAGTGACGAGCCCTCTCTCCTACCACGACCATCAACGAAGCAACACCTAAATTATTCTCCACTCTCTGCACAAGTCAAACATAAATTATAATGAACCGAATTTCATAATCTGTCCAATAAACGAGTAGCTAAATAACGTGCCTTACTATCACCACAAAGACCCCAACAATAATGAATCTTATATTATTTGTTGGACATAACCCAATCACCTCCGGGGATGCGTGTCTGGCCAAATTGTCTCCTATCAAAACTTTTGGAGTCTCTACATCAAATTTTAGGAACTATGGAATTATTATTCTCTTAAACCAGTCACTAAAAATTTCCATTGTAAACCAGCCACTCTTTGATGTGTTATAAATAGTTCCCTTGGGTCCATAAGGGCGACCAAATTTTGCTGTTTGAAGTCCCCTAGAGTGCCTGTTTAAGATACTTTTGAGTTTTGAGTGTCCCATATTTTTCTGATATCGTTCTGCAAGGTCTTCTGGTCGAATTTCTGGTAAAGCCAGCTCTAGTTGTTTGTCGGAAAAGTTTCTATTGGGTCTGGAACCCAGCTGTTTCTAGGGTAACATGGGACATGTCTCATTTAACCCCACATCATACATTTGTTTATAATTTTCCTTGTCAATATTTAAAAAAAAAAGATCCTAATAAAAATACACATGGTAACATAGTGGAACATAGCCAAGTTAACATTATTAGAAGCATACCTGGAAAATTTTGAAACATAACCTTTTAGCAAACAAAGTTTTGCGACCTGTTTTTTTTATTTTTTTTAAAAAACATGGTTTTTAAAAAATATATGAATAACTTACCTTTGACTCAAAGGTATGAAAATTTGATAAATATCACACATAAAGTTGATAAAAACCAGAAAAACAGAACGTCTGGAACACCCCCTTGTTGGCAACTGTCAAAAATTTCCAGTGTTGCCAAATGTCCCAAATATCTCCTATGTCCCAAATATCTCCTGTGTCCCAAGTAACCCCGTTTGCCGGTACCTACTTATCATTAGGAAAATCAACAGATGGATTATTGTTCACAAACTCATTTACGCCCTCCAAACAGTGGCGGTTCGCCCATATGGGCAAGGTGGGCGCCGCCACCCCGGAGAAAAAATGGAAAAATAAAAAGTACTTTTGAAACAATATTTGGTAAGGCCGCAACCTTGAAAATCTAAAAAAAAATCGCCCACGGCTGTTTTTTATTTTTGTTGCCAACCCTCACTTGGAGACCACGAGCCGCCACTGCCTCCAAATATCTTTTCAAAGGCTTGTTGCTTATAGGAAACACGCAACAAGCATTATTACTACCTACTGGTAATTTTTAAGCACCCATATTATTCTCCTCAACTATTATCCCATAGACATTCACAGCGAAACTCAGGGTGGACACAACAGTATAATATAATAATTTTCAATTTAGTTGATTTCCTGTATTCGTCTTAGAAGGAATGAGTACCAAGGGTGCAATCGTTAATTTTTTATTTACTTATTTATTTAATTATTTAATTCTTTACAAACACTATATAAAACGACAGTAATTACATGCAAAGGATAGACACTAAGGTATCAAAAGAAGGAAAGAAAAAACAAACTAGAACTAGATTAAAAATTATTAAAAAACAAAAGAAAAAAAAGTACATGATGTACAGGGTGGGCCAATTTGGACACTAGGTATTAATAGGTAACGTCAATTTCTGAGCGAGATACAAAAAAATGAACCCCCCACTCTGAGGCTC